GGTCATAGCATAATGACAATTTCTGGAATTATTCACTAGGTCATAAAATCTCTTGAAACATGACTCCCCTGGTCTTAGTTCAGGCCAAAGTCAGAGTCATTGTTGATGTTCATTTACATACTCCTCCAGCTGTGCTCTGAGGGGACACAGTGGCTCCCAACTCCCAAGGGTAATCATTCCCAGGGTGTTTTTGTTTTTGTTTTTTTTCCAAGAGGACAGATTGAGGAGAAGGCTTTCAAGAAGGTCTGTCCCAGGGTCCAAGTTCTGTGGTGGGCTCTTCTAGGAATTTGTTTAGAATGTGGGCCATTCTCCTCTGTGGTTCAGCACAGTTCTGGAACCATCTCTTTGGTCTACAATGACTGTGGTGCAGTTGAGCTCCTGGTCTTTCTTACAACCCATGCTGAGTCCTTTCTGGTGTTCAGTGTGGCAAAGAAGGAGAATTAGAGTGCATCTTTCCTCTAGGATCTGATGCAAGGACGGTTAGGATGGGAATTATCTTTTCTTTTATCTAGGATACTGGGTAGTCGGTCTCTTGAATTTTTAGAATCTAAGAGATGGAAAGGGTCTAGATGTTACCTAGTTCACTTCATGTAATGTCACTTTTATAACAGCCATGCCATGATTAATTGTCATTACCCTATGATTTGACACTTTCTGTTGCAGATAGGTTACTGCCTTTTTGTAGAGGACCACGGTGAAGACTGTGAGCTCTCACTGAGTTTATAACCTTGGACAGTTATATAACTTAATTGTATAATGGAAATAATAATAATAATCTCTTCATGAAGTTATTAGGAGGGTAAATAATTTAATATCTGAAATAGTTCTTAAAACAAAACCTAGCAAATAGTTAAAAAAAAAAAAAAAGAAAAGAAACCACAGTTGCTGGTGAGTCAGTTCTGACCCACAGTGACCTATGTATTTCAGAGTAGAAATGTGCTCCAACATCACCACCACCCACTGCCATCAATTAAATTCCCATTCACAGTGACCCTATATGACAGAGTAGAACTGTTTCCAAGGCTGTAAATCTTTGTGGATCCAGACTGCCTCTTCTTTCTCCTACAGAGGGGCTGTTGGTTTCGAATCACCAACCTTTTGGTTAGTAGCCAAATGCTGTTAACCACTGCACCACCAGAGCTCCTTTGGGGCATTATACTGAGTGAAAAAATGCCAGTCCCAACAATTGCATATTATCTGATTCCATTTCTGTGATATGCATGAAGTGACAAAATGATAATGACAAAAAATCAGAGCAGTAGTGGTCAGGGGAGAGGTGTGACTAAGGAGTCATACAGCAGTTCCTTTGTGGTCACTGAACAATTCTGTATCTTGGCTAAGGTGATGTTACTTGAATTTACACATGTGATAAAACTTCATAGATCTACGAATACACACACAAGAGTGCATGCAAAATGGATAAAAGATGAATGAATTCTATACTTCGTTACCTGAGTTAATAGTGTTCTAACAAAATCAATTCCTGGATTTGACAATTTACTATGGTTACTTAAGATATTGTCTTTGGGGGAAGCTGGGTGAAGGGTACGTGGGAACTTTCTGCACTATTTCACAACTTCTTGTGAGTCTTAAAGTGCTTCAAAATATGAAATTATTTTTAAAAAATCACTTTAGGATAGCATGTTTGGCAGAAGTAACGGAAGATGGTTGAGGGAAACAATAATTGACTTGACATACATGTTCAGGAATTTTAATTTGCAGTTAAAGCCATAAATATACACATAGATTTTTATGATTGTTATAATTTCACATAGTGAAATTTTAAGTGCCAAAAGGGAGTATAAAAGAAAAGGGGAGGGAATCTAGATTCTTAGGAAAACTTCATGCCGTTAACTGGTGTAACAACCTCACATTACTCCTGTGTAAGTTGGACAAAGGGAGTTGAACTCTACTACTGTATAAGTATAGTAACCAAACCAATGGTCAAGTTGATTCAGACTCATAGTGACCCTATAGAACATGGTAGAACTCCCCCACAGGGTTTCTAAGGCTGTACATCTTTACAGAAGCTCACTGCCACAACTTTCTCCTGAGGAGTGGCTGGTGGGTTCGTACTGCCAACTGTTTGGTTAACAACTGAGTGCTTTAACCACTGTACTCCCCAGGCTCCCTATAATTAGTAGGGATAAATAAACATAATAATGCAATAAATATTGGCATTTCGATAGTGATTTATATCCTCGCAAGCATGAGCTTATGTGATCTCTCAACCTTGTCTTGGAGGCGGAACAGAGATTATTACTCTTAACATGCAGATACGGAAGCCTAGGCTCAGCCTTTCTCAACTTTACTCTGCTAGTCAGCACAACTAAAGCAAGAACCCAATGTTCTTGTACTGCTACTCTGCCAAAAGGGGTACAACTGTGTACAAATTGTCAGTAAGATGTCTCATCAAAGTATTACAAGATTTCTGAGAAGAGGAAATTTCTGGCTGGGAAGATCAATAATGACTCTTAGAAGGGGATGATATTGAGGTGGATGGTGAAGTGAATCCTTAATGTATAACCTCACATAGTTTTTCAGGAAATATTCTTGCTGAAGAGTTTCCTCAAGGCAGCCTTCATGTCCCGGTTTCTCAGACTGTAGATGAAAGGATTTAACAATGGGGTCACTGCTGTGTACATTGCAGTTATCACTCCATCTTTTAGGCTGTAACTGGTCAGAGGGCGGAAATACATGCCCATCACTGTCCCATAATACAAAGAAACAACTGTGAGGTGGGAGCCACAGGTAGAGAAGGCTTTGAGCATGCCCTTGGTGGATGGAACCCGTAAGACAGTGGCAAAGACTTGAATATAGGAAATAATGATGCCTATTAATGGTGCACAGAAAAAACCAACACCTACATACATCATTTTCACATTTAAATTAATATCAGAACAGGACAACTTGAGCAAAGAGGAAATGTCACAGTAGAAATTGGCCACTTCATGGTTGCCACAGAAGGACAGATTAGCTGTAAACAGAGTGTGGGGGAGGGAATTGGCAATTCCAATCACCCAAGACCCTGCAACAAACAGGACACAACACCTTGGGCTGATAATTGTTGTGTAATGAAGAGGGCAGCTGATGGCCACAGCACGATCATATGCCATCACAGCCAAGATATAGCTATCTGTGTTAGCAAAGGCAATCATGAAATTCATCTGTGTTAGGCATGCCCCAAAGGAGATGGCTTTGCTGCCCAAGATGT